AGGTCACTTTGGACAAGCACTTTGAAAACTCTACAAGGCCTTTGAGAGAGATACCCTGGCCTAAAACACATATCTGCTTATAAATAGTCATTTGCCCCAAGCTTTGAGCAATTCTGTTGGGAAACTGAGGTTAACAACGTCTTGTTATTTCACTAAAGACATCCTAGCATTTCTCCAGAAGCACTTGCGCTGTTCCTTAATTTTTCCACTTTAGGTTTTCCACCTTTTCCATATTACATCTACAAACATCAATGTATTTTATTTGGAGTCTAAGAAATAAACACAAGATATTGCAGAGTTTTAAAGTGGAAGGAACAATTTTTGACATTTGACTGTGTAAAAACTTTTGAACACCAACCTTTGGTGCAGATCAGCTTCGAGTTCTTCTAGGCGTGCCTCTTCCATCTTGATTAGGTCAAACTGGGAGCATCTCTGAGTCACTGTTTTCAAGTCTTTTCGGTTGGATTTTCTAAAATCTAACATTTGCCCTGTATTTAGGCTGGTCCATCGTCCTTTCAACTCTCTGGATGTAGATATTTTCATCTCGTCCAGAGTTGCCATGGTTCTGTAGGCTGTGTCGTGTGATTAAAGGTGACCTATTGTGCTTCCTTGAACAGGTTAGCGTCGGTCTGTGGGCTATACAAAACATTCATTACATTTTTTGCACAAAACCATTATTAGATAATGTCATTCTTGGCCAAACCCAATGTTTACATTCGCACATGAAAACGACTACAAACAGATGGGCAATTATACAACAGTGCATCTTTGAAAAGCAGAAGTAGAGCCTCCTGCTCAACGAACAAGAATGCAGCAAAGGGTTTCTGAATGGTTAGTCAACAACAAAACTCTTGTCTTTTTAAACAGTTTGTTTTTCAGACACCAAATAACATCAACTTAGTGCCACAACACAGTTGAGTTTTTCTTTGGACTTGTTTTGTTTTTTAAGCGCTTTGGCTGTTTCTAGGTTAGTATAAACCCAAATGAAAGTACAAAAATGTGTAAAATGTTAGATTAGGAGAACTGCCAGGCCAGTCCAATTAACTACTTCAGTGAATGACCAGACAAACAGATTCAAACATAAGCCTGCTTTAAACTTCTCACCAACTTTCTCTCTGTTGCTTTGTGTTCTTGGTTCTGCCAATACACTAATGTTCTTTCACAAATGTCAGAGTCCTTCACAACGCAGCTGTATTTATACTAGGGAACCTGCGGGGAAGGCAGCAGAATACATATGCATAGCCACAATTTTCCATCTTCTAATTGTTAAGTATTTTGAAAGTCATGCATCCGTGTCCCATCCACTTCATATCACATGAAATCAAAGTAAAATCCATTCAAGTCCGCGGCTGCGTTTGCCTCTAAGTTCCCCCATCGAAAAGATCTGAGGCTTGAACCGCCTCGCCTGCACATGGTTATAATTTGCGACAGACTGATAGTTTTAAATTGTTTAACCATCAGGATTTCAAATTAGACCTCAAGACAGAAAGAAAAGCCTTGAGAAGCAGAGCGAACTTCCCTTATAGATACAGTACAAGCGAAAGATTGACTGTAGGAGAGCGAAGCATGCAGTCTGGGATGTAAGGACAGATTTAAGATAAAAACCAGATGGAGGCAAATAAACTTATGCTCCTTCTGAGTCTGCTCTCTGCTATTTTGGGATTGTGTGGGGGTGAGGTGGGGGTGGGAGGTGGTCCGACTTGGCAAGTGTAAATATACAGGCTAGTATAAGCATCGGGTCTCTCCACTTAAAGGGGGAGGTATAGGGTCTGGCACATGTTCAGTGTGGTGACCCACTTTTCTTTGCATCTGGACCTGATAAGTTTCCTCCCCAACAGCACTGGGAAGAAAGGAGGTCCAGACCGGTATCGCTATCCTCCGCACGTGAACTGATCTTTAGACTTGAGATCCAAATTTTAGGTTTATTTTCATAATCTCCACCTATAAGAAAAATGTAAACATGTGAGTCAAAATGCGGCGATGTTTATTGCTGCGCCGTTGCTTTTGCACTTAGTGGAGAATCCCGTGGTGCTGAAACCTTGGCATCTTCAAGTAATGATTAGCACTTTTTTGCACCTGTGCTTATTGTTCTGTCATCTGTTTTTTCCAAGACCAACAATTAGGTGCTGGCAAAGTGTGGCCTTGAGCCACTGAAGGCAATATGAGAGGCTCTGTTACTTTCATTTTCCTCTTACGCTGGTTCTACTCATTGGTATTTCGCCAATACGAATGGAAATTAGTCAAGCTGTAGATAAAAAGCTTTCTGACTTTCAACAAATACAATAAAACAGCTCATTCGTATTTTGAATGAAGGAATTAGTCTTTACTTGCTTTATTTTCAGTTTAAGCTTTGATGGGGTTTTTTAAATCTTTAACACATAACCAAATCCGAGAATTTCCCAACGGCGCCTCTCAATGCCATACTTCATGTTTTTCACAGCACAAAATGAAACTCCACATTTCATTTATGTAGAGCATGAAGTGCTCAGATCAATTGAGTCATTGATGGAATAAAGTTATAGAATTTGGAAACAAAATGTCCGAATTATTAAACTGGATGTTCTGTGTTAAAATATTTTGAAACCTGTTTCATGATCTTAGACAATTTGAGTGCTGATTTTCAGAGCTTAGCTTAGCTTAACTTAGCTTAGCTTCGTCCAAATATCTGAAACTCAATTCCAGTCTCGTACCATTATCAAAATGAAACACAGAAAACTCAAGGTATCTCAAAAAGCTTCCCACTGTGTCTGCAATGCTTCATTAATATGGGTGAATCCTGAACAAAAAAGGCATTAGCCGTTTAGTTTCTTTCAGTTTATTCAAGTAAAAGCAATTTACGACAACTGTCGTAGCAAAGCATTTTACAAGGTAAAAAAGTTCAGATTCATATCCAGAAGTACTTTCTCGCCGTCCATTTTTGCCGGTGCACATTGAGGATCAGAAGGAGATTAAAGTGACTTTGGCATCGTTGTTGCCGCTAAAAGAGAAAAGTAAAAAGAGTAACAAGACAGTGAATACAATGGTAGTTCAAATAACTAATCATTACAACCGTTTGCCCTTGAAGGAGATGGACTAAACCAACAGGAGACCCAACCAGGTCACAATCCTGTCCACTGAGGACAAGGAACTGAGAAAATGCAGGCTCACCAAGTTTGGACAGTGGCAAAAACTTCCTGTTGGCCAAGGATGAGAACCAACTGGAATTGTGTAGGAAGGCGACGCAATTCCAGGGAGACAGAACCAGAATAACAAGGTGAACCTCATAAAGTGGTAAGTGCATAATCAGATCAATCCAGCGTAATCAAGCAAACAAATTTAAATTAAATTTCATACATTTCTGACAGATTAAATCTGTCTGAAGATGTATGAAATCTTCGTCTTACTATGCATGAGCGGACTTAGTCTTTATAGCAAATGAACTGGAAACCTGCTGTAAAGAACAGAAAGTTTCAGAACACAACCCAGACCAGAGCTCTAAACGCCCAGGACGTCTTCAGACAGCGTCTTATTGACTCAGTGGCATTAAAAAGACAGACAGACCCTGCTGGGCTTTATTGTAGCTTGTGATGAAGTGTCTTTGTTCTCCAACCCTCACAGAAGCAATACATGTTCACCTCAGCACGAACACGTCATGTTTCTTTAGAGACAGTGTTCCGATAGTACACAAGGTCTCCGAGGAGCCACGGGAACATTAGCCTGATGTATTTGTTTCTCTATTAGTATTGATCCGTGTTTAGTGTCAATTCAGGCACTTGGGAGAAATGATCCGGCGCAGGCTTTGGGGAGCACGAGGGAAGCAGTCGGTCAATGCAATCAAGGACATCGCAAGCAGCAAAGCCTATGCTTTGGTAGGGAACCTAAACTGTGGTAGAAGGCTGCAGCACAGCGCGTCCGCCGACACAACCACGCTGCGAGACACGCCGAAAGCTTTCCTCCACAAACACACACCTTCTCTCCTCCCTCTCCTGCTACTCCTCCGCCTCGTCTCATTCCCCCCCCAAGCCCCCATAGCCGAAAGCCAGAGCAGACTGATAAGCAGGCAGCCAGAGACGAACTAATCCTCCCACAGTGAGAGACGTTTCGGATGGCGCGTGATGGAAATCAAACCGAACTGACAGACGAAGGCAGGATGAGCCAGGAGCAGAGGGTAGAAGTGAGGCGAGGATACAGATTAGCAGAAGAAAAAAAAAAGGTGAGGACGAAATGCGATCAAATGAAAAAGAGGGTCGGTTATAAAAAAAAATTCTACTTAATCCTCCTCCTCCTCAGATACTGCCTTCGTTTTTTTTTTTTTTTTTTTTTTTTTTGTCGTTTCGATAAATGTGCAACCAAGCCTCCCAACCAGTTTGCCTGCTCAACCATCTCCTCATCATTCCCACCCATCCGCTCCTGCCTCCCTCCCCACCCCACCACCTCATCTCTCTCCTCCTTTCTCAGTCTCTCTCTGTCTCTCCGTCTGACTGAGGCGGATGTAGGTCAGTGCGTCTGGAGCTTGTCTGGAGCTGCAGAGAGCGTCAGAGCCATCTCCGCCTTTGCGCCCTGGCTGCGGACGACTTTCTCCAGGCTACCGGAGGACAAGAACCGGCGCCGACTGACCCGACGTGCCCTGCAGGAAAGGATGTGCCATCCACAAGGGCGAAGGGGGTGTCAGGGGAGGGTTGTGTGTTTACTTTTGAGAAGCTTAGCCAGTGTATGTTATTTGCATGTGTGCTGCAGATGCAAATGAATGAGGATGGAGAGGCAGAGTGGCGGTAAAGACTGAGCAGGTTAAGAGGAGATGGGCATTAAAGTCGTCGCTACGAGAGGTTTTCTGGTAAAACGTTCATGTGACGCCATCGTACCCCCTCTTCTTCCAACACACACACACACACCTTCAATGCACTGCTCTCATACCGCCTTCCATCCCATCCACATTCAGAATCTAACCTAATCATCACGAAGCCATTATGTTTCTTCCCCAGATCCTGTACGGTTGCATCTGCAGCCGTCGCCGTTTTTTTTTTTTTTTTTTTTTTTTTTTTGCAAGGAAAGACAAAACCCGGCGACCAAAATCCAAACTCCAGGACGAAGAGAAGTGCGGCGTTCAGTCTTTCGTCTCCTGCGGTACACTTCCTTCACCGTGTCTCTCCATACGGTGTCCCTGTCCGGCAGATGTCCCGTGCCCCCCAAAAAAGGCTGAACCGTCCAAAGTCTCCTCCGGCGTCCTCCGTAGATCGTAAAGACTTCCGCGTTTCCAATCCCTTCTCCGTCGTCTCCCTTCTCTGGCTTTTTAGACAATGCCCGTCAAAGAAAGAAAACACTGAACAATGTTTCAGAGTGCAGCTGCTGCGAGGCTGTCTGACTGGAGTGTGTGTGTTGTGAGGGAGTTTTCGTGTGTCTGTCTGTGCTCTCGATTTGTCTCTGCAGCATCTCCGGGTCCTGCGGTGGTACTCCTGTACTTCAGTGACGGTGTGTAACAGCCCCGCAACTTTCAGTGTGTGTTTTTAGGCGTTCGTGTGCTTCGCCGTGACATGGCAACCGTGTGACCTGCTGCGTCAGAATCTGTTGCAACTCTATCTTTTTTTTTCTTTTTGGGGGGGAGAGGAATTCCTGGGGCGTGGCGTCGCCGGCCCGACCACGCCTCATCCTCTTGCCCCGTATCGGACTCCACGAGACGCTGTGGTCCCCGATTCCTGTTTCCAGTTCTTGCGGAATACGAGTGAGAACTTCCTCGATGAAACTTGTTTGCGGTTCATCGTTTGTCCCCGTTCTTTTGTCACTCGCTGCCCGTCGTTTTTTAGTTCCCCTTAGATGTGTTGATTTGAGTTGTTTCTCTGTGTCTCATTGTAACGTTTCTCTTTTATTTTAGGAGGAGAAGAAAGGACCGAGTCCTAGAAAGAGGAAGAAAAGGACTGAAGAAAGATGAAAACTGTGTCCAAACTCTTTGGAGTGAAAGAAATGGCAAAACAAAAGTTTAAAAAGTTCCCTCAACGGGATTAAACTGAAGACATATGTGGAATAGCAGATCATATTGAAGTATAGGGTTACTTTTATTTGAAAAAGTTGCAAAAGAAGGAAGAAAGTCAGTTCCCTAATATCTTCATCCCCTTTTTTTGTGATAAGAGTAGCATGGGGAAGTATGTCTCGTTTGAAACTTAAAAATAGCTCCAATTACTGGCGCTGTTGTGTAAGGGCTGGGACAGCAGTAGGTGGGTGACATGGTGAGACGGCCACCTGTACTGTCTGCCACATTCACACAAAACACAGAGGGGACAGACTGCCTGTGGATGAGTCACAGGCACGGCGATAAAAGTGAGCGTGCACGCGTATGTCTGTGTGTGTGTGTGTGTGTATGCAAATCACTGCTTAGTCGTCAGTTTTTCTGTTTAACTGCAGGGTGCAGGGAACTTCCCTTTGGTTTTCAAACCCTTGGAAAAGATCCAAGTCAGTTAAGGCCCGGCGCACACGAGAGGCACAAAGGGCCTCGTTGTGCGCAACCTCTCGGGATGACGAGCGGCCGGGTCAGAGCGGCGCGTCACTCTTGAGGCGGTTGAAGAAGGGCGAGTTCATGGTAACGAGAACCTCCGTTCCCTGACACACAGACTCCCCTTTCCCCCCCCACCTCCTCGCTCTCGGGGCTCCTAATCTCATAACTCGCGTTTTACGACACGCTGGGATGACTCCCTCGCCCGTTCCTGGGGGTTTTTTCTCTCTGCTCCCAGCACGGTCGTGAAGGCCCGACTTATAATAAACTACGACCCCTCTCCCCCCGTGAAGAGGCACATGCTGCTTTCTCATTAAACACTCAGGTTTCTTGAGGGTCAATCACATATTAGGCATTCATATTTGTTTTATTTAAAAAAAATGCATATTAAACATCTTAAACCAGCAAATGATTCCCTTCTTTTCACATGTATAGAAACTGTAGAGTAGAGTTAACAATGTTTGGAGGAAAAGTTCCAAGGAATGTAATGAACAACAAGCAGTCATTTGTTTAAATAAATCCAGATTAGTTGGTTCTGAAGCCTGAAGCCAACAGCTGGACCAGGAAGTGCCACGACCAAAGTGACGCACAGCTGTTTAAAAATAACAGCAGATTGAGCAAACTTTCTGCCACTGTCATCACAGTCGAATTGGGTCATTTAAACCGATGGCTAATATTTACACTAGAAATTCGTGTTGGAGGTGGTGCTTCACAAAGTACCTTCCTGTGTGAAACATTTACCAAAAAACTGAACTTGCGAAGCATTTCCTGTCAGAGTAAATACCTGATGGGTGTCTGGCGTCTGTTGGAGCTCTACTCTGTGCGGGACCATTTAAATGTTTCGCACTTAGAACTTGTTTCAGTCAGGAAGATACTTGGTGACGCAATGCCTCCAGCCTCTATTTACCATGTAGGTTGTCAGGTTGTTGTTTTTTTTTTTGTCAAATGAAGGTTCATTTAAATTCAATTTGAAGAAACTGTCACGTTTTGAGATTGAACGTTCACTCGGTCCATGGCTGCCTTGGACTAATAATCTGGATTTATTATCAATGCAGACACCAAGGGTGTAACATAGTAAACTTCTTATAAGTTTTTGACAGGCCGTCACTGAAAGAAAATTGGCAATTCTGCCCTTGATGTACCAATTTTCAAATTTGCCACAAATGCAGTTTGAAAATGGAAGCGCCCCCACCGGCCTCCCTGGCACTGACACCGTCCCTTCAGAATCAACAGAGCCGAGACAAAGGAGGAGGCAGGCGTAGTTTGAGGGAAACGCCTGGCTCCGGCGGAGCAGTGGGACCGGTCCGACGAGGGCCCCAGGGAGCCGGGGCTCCGCAGCAGCACCAGCAGTGCATCTGCCGGCGGAAAGCTACCTGACAGCTGCTTCTCACACATCAGATAAGATCACAGGTACACCCAGTACACCTGTTTAAACAAACCCTGGCGCAAGCATGCCGCCGTGCGCGCGCCTGTCTGAAGAAGACTAATAGAGATAACAAGCTAATCCAGGAGCAGGTGCATGCTTGTAATTGGGGCGAGCCACAGATATATAGCAGGGGGTAGAAGTTCATTATTAATACTGCGTTTGATTTATGCGATCACAGGGTCGATTGAGCATTTGTTAAGAGTTTATTGTGTGTGTTTGTGGGTTTTTTTTTTGCGCATTCATTGTTGTTTTCACCAACTACCAGGCGGGTGTCGTAAACCTCAGAAACTCTGGATGTCAGTGATGTTGCAGAATCAGAGCAAGACTTGCAGAGAAGCAGTCGATCACAAGACGGAGAAGTTAACACACAATCACGTATCCCCTCCCTTCCCCCCCCCACACACACACACACCGCACACAGTTAATGCCTGCTCCATTTGGCTCTAGCCTGACATCTAGCGACTCAGGCTGTAATATGATCTCACATGACACTGGCATGTCAACATAGAGAGATGGGCTGGAAGCTGCAGCAAGACTGACGGTTGCTGTTTTTAAGATTTAAGATGAAATGCGACACTTACTTCCCACATTTCTGGTTCACCACAAAGTACCGACACGTAGAGATTAAATAAAAGCAACCCACAGCCACGCCGTCCCTCTAAACCCCCGCCTAAGCTGCCGTCTGTGACGTCACTACGCGCGGCTGGCCTTCGGGTGGGCTCACCCCGCGCTGAAACACCACGGCAAGCCTGACTGACGCAACATGTTGTGGCCTCCTCCTTTGTGTTTTCTCAGCATTTTCTCAGCCGCCACGCATGACACACAATCTAATTTTAGCTGGCCTTCATCCACATGAACCTAATGTGGTTCCAAGTATAACCCTGTGAACTGGACAGGAGGAGGACGTTAGAATATATAGATCTATATATAACAGGGGTATTGGTGCATAGACGTATTGAGAATAACAATTCTTTCATTTTAATCAAACGCGTCTGTCTAAAAAAGGTTAAAAGTGATTATTTTGGTAGTTGATCCTGCCAAAACATTTTTTTTATTATTTAAAAAAGTCGCCTATTGTTGTGTATTTTGTTGTGAGCTGTAAGGAGGTCACGGGGGTTAAATTAGGTTGGACAAGAGTGTGATTGTGAACCCAGGTTCGCCTGGTTTAGCAACGGCGCTAATGCTAATGTCAAGCCAGCGCCCCAAGGGAGTTGTTGAGATCTGAGCTGTCGTTGCCAGGGAAAAGGTTTCACATGCAATGTGCCACCTGGTTAGAATGGATTTTTAAAGGTTTATTATTATTTCAGGACTGTTTTATACCTTAATAAGAAAAAAATGTGTTTTGTTTTTTTGCCCGTCTTCAACATGGAGGTCAACTCAGTGACTGCTAGCTTACAGTCGAGTTCGCTAACATGACTTTTAGCTTGCAAACAGTCGTAGTGACGATACGGCTCAGACAAAAGCAGCAGAAATGATTAAGCTACCAGTAAAACTTGACTCTGTTAACACAAATGACAAATTATGAAAGGGGTTTTTCTTCCATAGAGTTCCTTCCTCCCGTTGAAAGCGGCGGCTCTGTGTTAATCAGGCGTATCAGATACGGATCAGTAGGAGCTTGTAGGTTTCCAACGCAAATGGGGAAGATGATCCTGGACGGAAAAATTTGAAATGCGTGTTGATTGCTTTGCGTTGACGTTCCATATGTCCAATATGTGTTAGTGTGACGTATAATAGTTAGTTTATTTCAGTAAAATTGCTGTGAAAAGTAGAGGGCAGTTTCTTATTGGTGGCTAATGAGTAGCCACTGCTATTCCTTGGGATGGTACAGCAAAGGCGGAAGAGAAGTTGCTTTATTGGGCCCTGGAGACCTTGATGTTTTAGAAATACACTAAAATTACGTCCTTACATCTGACCTGCATAAAATCCAGAGCGAGCTTATACATTTCAGGTTCCTCCACTCATCAAAACACACACATTTTCAAACTTTTTCCCGTCGCCCCTTCAAGCTTCACCACCCTGAGCCGCCGCCTCAATAAGCTCTTGCTGGAGTCAGACCAAAAGGCCAGCGCAACCGCTCGGCCATCATCTGTTTGAACACACCTGCCGCTGCTCAATCAGTGCACTTTCATAAAGTTTCTCGAGGAAATCACATTTATTTCTCTAACATGCATCTCTTCAGTTCTAACAGCTTGTGTGTGTCTCTTTTCTCTAAAGTGTTCCTTTGGAGAACAGAAACCTGCAGATGGAGACGCTCGCAGTCTGACTTGGTTCTTTTCTTCCAGTGGAGTCTGACAGGAATGAGGTCAGACACACGGATCCTCATTGCACATCATTATTATTATTAGCTGGGTGCTCTTTTTTTATTTTATTATTATTATTATTATTATTCAGCCAATGGGCGTCGAGTGGGAGCGGTTTGAGTGAAAAACCAGGATGGAGACAGGCGCCGATTGGCTCCTGCGCCTCGATGGGAGGGTATAAATGGACGCGGTCCGGCGTTGTTGTGTTTACAGTAATATCTCAGAGCGCACGGGAAACAGGGAGACTATGAGAAAGCGCAGCTGCTCCATTCAGCCACATGGTTCCTCAACCGCACAGACAAGCTGCGCTGTAGACAGCCGGGCTCACAGAGGAGACTCGCAGCGGCGCCTGTTGAGCCTCGCAGGGAGAATCTTCAGCCGCACCGGCAGTTGAGAGCCGATCCGGGGGCCGCGCCGGCAAAAGTTCGGACACTCCGAGTGAACGCAAAAAGAAAGACAGGAGAAACTTGGATCAACTTTTATTTCTTAAGATTTGCTTCCAACTCATAGCTGAGGAGATTTTTTAAATATATTTGTTCCCCTCCTCTGTCTCTTCTACGCGCATAAACTTCGTCACTGACTTGAGCGCTTCCCGACTGTTTGGAGGAGGAGATGGTGCAGCACATGAGCCACGCAGAGAGCACCCACGCTCACTCCCCCGGCGGGGACTCCACGGACACGGGAGACATGGACCTGGAGATGGACGCCTCTCCGGTCCCGGAGGGCTCCCCTTCCTCCCGGGAGCGCAGCGACCTGGCGTGGTGCAAAACCCCGACCGGCCACATCAAGAGACCCATGAACGCGTTCATGGTGTGGTCCCAGATCGAGAGGAGGAAGATCATGGAGCAGTCTCCGGACATGCACAACGCCGAGATCTCCAAGCGGCTGGGGAAGCGCTGGAAGCTGCTGAAGGACACGGACAAGATCCCGTTCATCCGCGAGGCGGAGAGGCTGCGGCTCAAGCACATGGCCGACTACCCGGACTATAAGTACAGACCCAGGAAGAAGGTCAAGTCCGGGACCGCGGCGGGCAAGCAGGCGGAGCGCGGGGAGAAGAGCGGGGAGCGCGGCGCCAAAGCCGCCACCGGCAGCAAGAGGAGCCCGGCGTCCAAATCCGCCAGTAGGACGCTGAAACAGGGGAGCAGCGGCAAGAGCGCGGCGGCGCAAGAATACGCCTCCGCGGTGTTTAAATCCAGGTCGGCGTCCGGGGCCAGGCAGATCCCGGAGAAGCGCTCAGGTTCGGGAGAGGCGAGGCGTGCCCACGTGTTCGGCGGGACGGGCAGCATGGAGAGCGGGCCTCCCTCCGTGGGCGTCCCGGCCAGTCCCACCCTGAGCAGCTCGGCGGAGTCCAGCGACCCGCTCAGCCTGTACGAGGAGCACAGCCCCGGCTCCACCGCGCGCCTCAGGTACGCACGCGCCTCCTCCCCGACGCCGTCCGCCTCGCACTCGTCCTCCTCCATATCCTCCGCGTCGTCGGACGAGGAGTTCGAAGACGAGCGGCTCGACCTGAACCCGAGCCCCGGCTTCGAGAGCACCTCTCTGGGCGGGATGGGCTTCTCCGACGCGGAGCTGGACCGGGACTTAGACTGGGGCTTCGGGGAGTGCGGGGCGGGATCCCACTTCGACTTCTCCGACTACTGCACTCCGGAGGTCACCGAGATGATCTCGGGAGAGTGGCTGGAGTCCACCATCTCCAACCTGGTGTTCACCTACTGAATCAGCCCCCCTCTTCCCTCCCACGTATGAACTCTTCTGTCCCTCTACAAGACAAGCCTGTGCGTCTAGATAAGACGATTTCCGCCATTTTTTCACTTTTTGAATAAATAAGAGTGAATAAAGGAAAGAAAAAGAGGCGACCTGCGTGCGCGGTGAAGCCCAGGTGCGCGCCGCTCAGACTTGGACAGCGCTCAGTGGCGCTTGACTGGAGGAAATGCTTAGTTTGCATTTGGAGAGGCGGAGGTATGGAATGTCAAACGTGCCACAATTCAATACATAAGTAGGTTGGTAAATAAAAATCTATATACGTGATCATTTTTAACAATAACAACAGATACATGAAATAAGTAAGTGAGTGCATCTGTGATATATTAAATTGCTTCAGTAAAATCATTTAAATGTGGTAAAATGTATCTGCTTTCTAAAACCACATATAGTACAGGTATTTGTAATCATTTCACAACCCTGTGCTGAAGTAGATGAAGAATTTACCTTTATGTGCCAGCCTCACCCAACAGTCAGTAGGCGGGGCTAACACTGCTTTAGGCAAAATGATTGGACGGCAGTTGAGGCGTTGTGCAAGGTAAACAATCCGATTTCAGCTGGCAAGTTATAGTCACAGTTTAAATTATTACAGTGACCTAAACATGTAACATTTGACAACTATGTATTTAAGTTTTAATTATCGAGAGCTTTTAATTATTGGTGCATTTAATGATTTGTTGTCACATTCATCTTTAAAGATATTTATGTTATTTATTTCACGTATTTATCGCGGCATTCTTAAAATCATCATGTATATAATGTTTATTTAGAAAATGTATTTATTTATTGGATTGTGGCACTTTTGGCCCTCCCTATTGAGGAGGAGTGAATGTAAGCAGAGGAGCTGCAGATGTTAAACTCATTCCACGCAGGATGAGGACTGAGACTGAACTTTTTGAGTCATGATAAGACTTTTTTTTTTTTTTTTTTTTTCCCTTTCGTTTTCTTTTTCTGTTTTTGGAACACTTGGAGAGCTCTCGAGTTCGGTTGTGTTTTCTAAGAGACAGCCAATCCACACTGACCATCAAGTTCAGGACATTTTTCTTCTCCTCAAAACTCAACATTTGGAGTATGAACACGCATGCTCTCCAAGAAGAGGAGGAATTTTCTTATTTAACGCGTAAAACAAAACAAAAAAAAATGTTTGTCTTTGCTGCGTAACTACGCATTTTGTGTGCGCATAGGACACAATTCACTATCACCAGCTTCTCTCTCAACGGCAGGATTTAAAACAAAGACTGACTTTAAACTTCAGAAACTTAAAAAAAAACAAAAAAAAAACACTCAGTGCACAATTCAGGACCAATGTTCTGCGCTTTCTCTCTGCCTAGTGCTTCAACTTTGTAGTTCTTGTGTCAGATATTCTTTCCAAATATGTACAGAGCCGGTCCAAGGTTATATTGGGCCCCGAGCAGAATTTAATAGGGGGCCCACTTCCTGTTGAGGTCACGTGCCCACCAACTACAACAGCAGGTCTATTTCATATTGTATATGCTTGATGCTTTTTTCCTCAGTATTTGTTCTCAAATTGGTTTTAACAAAGAGTCTTAAAGACACAGATCTGTTTTTTTTTTCTTTTTTTTTAATAAACACTGGGTATTAGCTGTTGTAGATAACTCATTCAGCAATTTAGTTTTAATATGAAATGTCACATTTTGTGTTTATAAGAGCTGGGCAAAGAGTAAAAAGAAGTCCCAAAAATTTCCACGCGGTTCATACAATATTTTACAAACCATAAATCGATGTCATGTTTGTATTGCCTTTACAACAAGCACATTTTTTTAAGCTATCCTTTAAAATTTCATAACATAGTGGCATTTTTTGGGGGGGGTGAGGGAGAGACCCCCGGCCAGCAGGGGGCACCAAGCAACCCACATACCGCTATGCCTTAGGCCGGCTCCGTACATATATTACTACTATATATATTGATGTATTTATACTGGCCAAACTTTTTTATACATAGAAGTATTGTTCTCGTACAGGTCTCGTTTGTGTTTGTGCGCACACACACACACCTGTCTGTATATCCAGCGGCGGAAGGGCTAAGAAGTGTATCTTATTTAACAAAAAAAACCACACACACACACACACAAAAACAGTGTCCGACTCCTCTCACTTTCAAAGAGATTTTGAGTGTGTCATGATTTTCTACTTGTATTTTTGTACAAAATCTATAAAAGGGGGCAGCCCTGCAGCATTGTCGTTCGCATCTACATTGGTGGTTTGGACGTGCAGAGGGGGCACAATCTGACCTCACACAGTGTTTACAGTATTTACCCACATGCTTCTTAAATGGCACAGTGACTCCAGCTTCACCAGCCGAGTAAACAAAGCGCCGCCGAGGCTCCTCCTGACTGTGTTTTCCAGTCCACGCGCAAGCAAAACACACTCAAAGTGAAAGATCCCAGATAAAGAGTCACTGTTTGGATAGAGCTAATACCTCTGTGTGCTTGGTTTGGTTTTTTTATATATATTTGGAGATAAGTTTTATTTGAACCACTGGACTCATTCCACTTTTGCCTAGACTTTGGAGGGAGGAGGAAATGTTTTTGAAGTGCTTCATCTGTCATTGCGCAAATTGCATAAAAAATAGTATTTAACCTTTTTCTGTACCTGTTGGCTACGTATAGCAGGCTATTTGTTGAATTTTTTGTTTGTTTGTTTTTTTTAATATTATGGCATGGCAAATAGCATTTGTATTTCAGATTCAGGTATATGTAGCTATAGCTGTTGTGTTTAAGATTTTTAAAAGAATAACATGAAGATATTTATGTAAACTGACTGTACTATAAGCAAAGATTGTGTGTTTTTATGTATGATGATCAATGACAGGCACTAGGACGGCCATCTTGGTGGAAGATGATTGTGGTCCAGGAGTTTCCTTTTAAAAAAAAAAAAAGGAAAAAAAAAATCTATTGTCCTTTTTTTTTAATTTTTCTTTCCCATTTGTGCAATATGTTGTGTTTGATCATGTTTTGTCCACTTCAGCCAAGATCGTTTGATGTCTTTTGCTCAAAAACCAGCCAACATTTGGGTCAATCACTGCCTCTCAGACCTCTGTACAGATTGTCTTTTTTAATTTTTTTTTCTTCCGAGAAGGAAATAAAATCAGCTGGAACTGAAAGTGCAATGCTTCCTCAAGTTGTTTTCTTTATTGAGTGTTTGAAAATTGAAAAAAAGAAAAAAGGTGCCGTTTTTGATATGGGCAGTATGGCCCTCCACCCAGGGTGGTTATCCTTGGGGGACAGCATGAACACTCAGTTTATTTTGAGTGCTAAGTTATTCATAGCTTATTTATGTCTAATTTTATGGCCCAGACCCCCCCAAACAAACATGCGAGTTTTAAACTAAAGCTGTACATCAGATCACATTATTAGCTTATTATAATGTTAGGACTGTCGTGGATTGAGCTTAGCATGAAAAGATCAGTAAGTAGACTGTTTTTTTTTAACTTTTTATCTATCTTAGTCTCTTTTGGTAAAAAATATATATGTATATATTTCTAAATAGAGCTAACAGAAAAGGTTTTCTCTTCATTGCAAAACACGTTTTAAGGACACCATTTGTTCAAAGAGTAGCATTTTGGGATCCCCAGGTCTCCAAAACAACCATTCCACAACAGTCACCAAAATGTTTAAAAGTAAAGAAATAAACCTTTTTTTTCTGTTCGACTACCAGGACATTTGTCTGGAAGTGTGAGCTTTGGACAGATGAGATTAATATTTAGTCTTGTGACAACATTCAAGGTTATGAAACGGAGAACAAATTAAAATAAAAACAGCTTTTATGCACTGGTAAGTAAGGTGGAGGTGTTGTGGGCCTGCAGTCAATGTAATTTTTCAAATGAATATCTATATATCTAGCTAAGTAGCTAGTAACTAGTGAGCTATCCAACCGGCTAGCTGTCGACCTAGCACGTTATCTAGATATTTATCTTGCTGTTTGCTGTTTTTCACATTATTAATGTTGTTCACCCACTGACAGAAACACCTCCAGTAAAGTTTTATAAAAGCTAAAAGATGCTCATTGAAAGAAAACATACGTTTTGCCCTCCTTTCTTTTTAAACTCGTGCGCGTTGGACGTCATTTGTTTACGTTCTGCCAAGCGCGCGTGCGATATGAATGCATGGGAGTGCGTCGCGGTTAGTAATCGAGCCGCCGCCGCAGCAGCAGCAGCAGCAGCAGACTGCCAATCAATAGCCAGCCAGTGAATCGATAGGAGTGGCCTCTTTCCTCCATCTGCTCCTCTCGTCTGATTCCGCACGTGCAGAAAACGTGGCTGCCATGGAAACGATGTATCCGCGAGAGAGAGAGAGAGAGAGAGAGAGAGAGAGAGAGAGAGAGAGAGAGAGAGGTTGCAATCCACTGGGGAACAGCATGGCACTCATGTGTATGCGCGTGTGTGTACACTTGCATGTGCGCTGCACACACACTTTGTAAAACGTGTGTGTGAGTGTGTTAAAGGGACACAGACTGATCCATCAGGGCGGGGTGGATGGGTTGATGAGTGGGAGGGGGGTGGTAGACATTTCTGCAAGGCATGACTGGAATAAAGGAGGAGGAGGTGTGCGCGCGCGCGCGCGCGCGCGCGCGTGTGTGTGTGTGTGTGTGTGTGTGTGTGTGTTCTGAAGGGAAGGGAGGCAGACGAGGGTAAAGAGGGGAGGATGTTTGCCCGTCCTGGTGGATTGTGCAGGAGACTGCTCCCAAATCCAATTAATTCCTGCTGGATGCGTTCATTTGTCTCGTGCGTCTGACGAGAAAGACACAGAGAGGGACCCCTGAGGTACAGTATTTAGTGTGTATCAATTTACGCCCTATTCCACGGGAGACGCTGGTAATTATTTCCATCTCTCTGTCAGGAGGCCGGGGTCGTCTCCTCTCCAGCTTTCCCTCTGACATCCCGGGCCCGGTAATGAGGAGGAGCCGAGGCACGGGCACCCGGGACGACAAGCCCGCGCGCCGCCGCATTGTCAGCCATAAGCCTCGCATCAGGCTCCAAAGAGCATGCGAGGCGTCCCTGTTTCCTAAAGTCCTGCGAGGAGGTGGGAAGAGGTGGCCGCGCTGCCACTCTGACCCACATGCCTGATTGGTGCAGTTTGTTTGTGTCCTGGCTGAACCTGAGTGAGTCTGACAAGATGGAGTCAAGGTGTCCTGCTTGGAATAGAGGCCAAAACGGAAAACGGCTCCCACACACACGCCCGCGCCCCTGTGTGTGTGTGTGTGTGTGTGTGTGTGTGTGTGGGTGTGTGTGTGTGTGTGTGTGTGTGTGTGTGTGTGTGTGTGGGTGTGTATGCGTGTGTGTGTGTGTGCGCGTGTGTGTTTGTGTGTGTGTGTGTGTGTGTGTGTGTGTGCTCACTCCAGAGGAAAATAACAGGTTTACTATGAATTAAGTAATTTGAAAAAAAAAGAGTTGATTTGAAGTTGGCTCACTTTTTACCGACTCTGTGCTTTAATCACACCTTGTGGCTACACACTGTGCTAATTATGTTGTAGCATAGATCCAGATCCATAAACCTTCCTTTTATTGCCTATCAGAGTGTTCACACCCTGCAGACTCTTTTCAACTGGGAACAGATTCGCGACATTACATTTTCAGCTGGTGCGTTTGAAAAGCCTGTTCCCCTCCTTCCCTGTGGCGGCGCTGCAGCAAGAACCAGGGAAGAAGCGACAGGAAAACCTCTGACGAAGATGCCGAGCGCAACTTCCGTTTTCATGGAACGTAAACACAGATGGGACAGTGCTGTAGGATTTCGCTTTCCACGAGCCATTTCTCCCGCTAGGACCGGACTCGTTCGTTTGTTTAGGTTGAATTTACCCAGAATTCACCGCGCTATAGTTGGGTTGCTGGTTACAACCCAACTATAGCGGCGGACCGAGCCAAAGCTCACTTCAACCGAACCCCAACTCAGACCAGACTTAGCTCTCTTGTCCGTTTGCGCATTCACACACCTGTCCAAACGAACCGGACATTCTGCGCATGCGGACTAAACACGGCTGGTGAATTCGCCCTAATTCTTGTGAGTTTGTGTCATTTCCTGCCTGCCCTCCCTGTTCTTAGCTGACAGGAATGGCTCCTCCTGTGATCTTCTGCTGTCTTTTTGTTATTTCGAACAAGTCTGCCTATTTTCCTCTTAAATCCCCAAATCCACTTCCCCTTGGGCATATTTCTTTCTTTTTTTATGACATTCCTTTTCAAAGACAGATGGTTAAGTATGAAAGTCACAGTACAGGCCTATTCGGTAAATTATACTGTTATTGAAAGGTTCATTTATTTCAGTAGCTCTATTCACTTAGAGAAACACATCATATAGAATAATTGCACACAAGCCTTCATTTCTGTTAATTATGATGATTTTCTGCTTGCAGCTAATGAAAACATGACATTTTGAAATGAAATTACATCACACCAATAAAAACATTTTTAATAGAGAAATGTGGGCTTAATGAGAAGTATATTTAATACCTGCTTAACGGCTGTTATTATGAAAAGGCACTTTTAACCTGACAAGCAGCCTCATCAAAATGCAGTCTCTAATTTATTGAATACCACTCCAGATAAAGGGGTTTCTGAGAAATTCGTATCGGAATCTGTTGCTGGGGCAACTATTAATCACGTGAGCTGGTGTTTAACTGGCCATAAAATACGTGGAATGTCATTTTTGAATACTTTCACGAGCCACTGTATAGCATTTGGATCAAAGCATAATGCATCTGTTCGAACGGCCCAGTCAAAGGCCAGACCTAAATTCAGATGAGACTTTAAAATTTATGGTCACATACACTCCCAGGTTAGTATGATGGGCAAAATTTAGTTAATTAAATATTCTGAATCTTTTATAAATCATGAAGACTATGAAAATACATTGAAGCTTCATATTGCAGCTTATTTTTGTTGTTCTATCATGTCATTTATTCCCCAAAACCATATCAAAGGTTTTGGGGAAATAATGATTATGACAGGAGCTGTTCAAACATAAACCACTGTAAGACACTTGCTCTCCTATTTCTCAGTATTTACATTGTCATAAATAAACTGGTTAGATTAGCAAACAATATTTTTCCCAATATGAAACATATTTCCCAATATGTTTCTCCACCCCATATGGAGAGCACAGCAGGACGTTAAAGTCTTCATGATATTGCAGTAAAGTGAGATAAACATACAGCAAACTGAGAGGGGATCAGCGCTCACTGCTGAGCCGATTTACTGAGTCACTGTAAAGATATTACAGGAATAACATAGAATTTTATACTGAAAAACCTATAAAATCCATATGAACGAGCCTTTGAACACCACAGGTGCATTTAACGTCCCAACGGACTTCTACTGAAGCACTTGTTTTCAGAAACATGCCGCCAGCGAGGTGGTTAGACGGAAGACAAAACCACCGTAGGATGTGAGTTTTAGCAAATATCCACACTTTTGCCTTACTGGTAGGAATGTGTCCCTGTCAATGCCACTTCCTGTTGTTGCCTTTCTGCAGGTGGACGAAACAAAGCGGATGCAGTTTTATCTAAGTGAACGTCAGAGGCGGCACACAACCAAGCTGAAGGCGTGAGGCTGAACTGTCGTCCCATCCCCTGCCAGTTTTCAATGAAAAGCAGAGGAGGTGAGATGTAAAGTGAACGTGGGATCACAAACAGACAGGAAGCACCATTCCTTTCCCCGTGTAAAACTCAGATTGCACAACTTTCACCTAGGCTCCGTTTCCCACTTTTTCTACGAAAGAAGCGCTGACATCCAAAAAAATCGGTTTGCTGTGACTTCCAACTCAGTGAAAAATAGAGATTGTCTCGGAGGAGAGGTTTCTGGTTTTCATTGCCGAGTTACATAAATAAAATGTTGTTAGGTTAGTTTATTGGACGTTACAGTGCCTGTTGGTTCACTGCAGCCAAAAAATGATGCCAGCTCAAAAGTTTGCACTTTGCCAACTGTAAATACCCATTGTCCTTTTTCTCATCTTGCCATGTTACAAGCACAAACACCAGTGTATTTTATTGGTATTTTATGTGACAGACTAAAATTTTAACTAATTGCAAAGGGGAGAAAAATAAAACCCTTTTGAAAATGTCCACAAGTAGAAATAAAGAACTGTAGCACCGTCCATCCTCCCATCAACTTTG